TGTACCTCTGAATTTATTGTTTTGTACCATTTGGATAATAGCAGGTTTAAGCTCAAATGAATTAGCAGCTACATCAAGATTTTGGATAGATAAGTGAATTTCATTTGCTGTAGGATTCACATAATCTCGTAGAGGTCTAGGTTGATGTTCATTTTCTATTCCTTGATTGTTCACGTTGTTTTCCATTGTGTCAGGATTTCTAGGTTCTTTTGTTAGTTTTCTAATTCTTCTAACAGTGTGTTCTAATTCTGAATTGTAGGGTATAAGATTTTCAGGTCCAAACTTACGCATAAAATTGAAATCAATGCACGGAAAAACAGTTAACTAGATATGAAAATAAATTGCAATTCAAGTAAAAGTTTTCTAATAGTTCTAATTTGTCTGTTACTCTAATTATGTTTTTTTTTTTACTCTCCGGCAACGACGCCAAGAACTTGACAGTGACTTTATATATGCTTAAAAATACAAGAATTTGATACTGTTGCTGGAAGATTTAAGTCCCTGGCAACGACGCTAAAAACTTGACAACGGTTATAGATTTGATAAAAATGTGTATAAAATATTCAATAATTGCAAAGTCACACTTATCAACGCAAGTATACGTATCGCTCAAGTAATACAGGGCTCTAATGAAGTCCTGGATATCGATCCCACAGGGAGTAATACTAGAGGCTACGAACTATGAATTAAAAAATCAATACTTAATCACAACAATACAATTCAAATTGCTTATTTGTCACTAATAGGCTATTGAAATAAATTATTGAAATAAATATGTAATAATTGAAATAAATAGATAATTTTAATAACTAATAACTAATGATATGAATAAAGTTTCTAATGTGAAGTTTAATATATAAAAAAGCATCATTCTCTTTATTAAAAAATTAAAGTAAATGGATAAAGTGAATTAGTTCAAATTGTATTGTGTCAAATAGGAGCATACCTCTTCTTTACCCTTTCTTCTTTACCTAAAAATCATTGACTAATCCTATGCTTGGTTATTGAATCTGTTTGAATCGGTGGCTAGGCTGGGAGGATACCCGCTCTCACTTTGGAGCTCCGACGTTCCCCTCGCCTGAGGGCTAACATCTACACTTCAACACCCAAACGATAGGACGGAATTGAGGATTTTAGTCTGTCACTCTAAAATCTCAATTTTATGCCCGATAATTTTATTTTCTTATTTATTTGCACCAAACTTTCAAGGACTTTGACCTCCCTAAATCTTGGATGTATTCTTCACTTTAGTTGTGTGATTTTAAAAATATCTTTAGTATAAAAATTGGTAGTTGAAAGAAAACAATAAATGCATGAAAATAAAAATTGACTTGTAGAGGATTTCTGACTATGAAAATGGGCTTTGGTGTACTAGATGTACTAATTGTAAAACTACATACTCTTTACCTAAATTTACCACAATATTGATAAACAGAAGTATAGTCCTTTAAAGTTAAATCTTAATATCTTAAGCCATGTTAAATTAATTTTTAAAACTTTAGTTAATTGAGGATAAATAAAATTTAGTTTACTTCTTTTCAAAATAAAATATTCTTTCCCCCTTTCGAGTCGGTTCTTTTACTCTTACAATAAGCTGCAAGTAGGAAGAAATCTATCACTTTCCCTACACTTACAATCTCTCGAAGAATTTCTCACAATACTAACCCTAAATTAAACTCTCTACACTCTACAAACAACAAAAACTCAGCGGACACCACCACGAGGCTCCTCTTTTTTCGGCCCAAATGTTTCTCTTAAAATTGTAGAAGAGTTTTTCAAGAGTTGCCTAAGCGTACCTTCAAAAATCGTCCTTGCAATGAACCTGTTAAGAGAACCGCCGTTCTCGCTGTCGGCGGCCTCAATGGCGCCGTCGACGGGCTTCTAGAATATTTGATTATGGACTTTCGGGAAAAACCAGCCGTCGGCACCGTTGGGTTTGTCGTTGGTGCCCGAGTTCAAATCTTCATATTTTGGTCATTTTTTTCTCCAAATTCACTCATTTTTGTATCTTTTTGCTCCAATGACCATAATTCAACATATCTGCAACAAAACATCAAAAATACCCTTTTTTATTTTAAAGCAAAAATACCCTTTTTTAAAGTGCAATATCATCAATATTAGTATAAAATAGGTATGAAAATCTCAACATATTTTTCTTTGGTTAAATGTAATGAAGAAAAATTCTTTGACTTCCCCTTTACTCGTACAACCCTAAGAGACAATCTTCTCTTTCACTCTTCTTCACTTACTCTCCTCTTCTCATCTTTTGTGTCGCTCCTTTTCTGTAATAAAATCACTATTATATAACATATGGCCGAATTTCCAAGAGTCACCTCTGGCAACTTTTCAAAACTCATCCGAATTCAATGAATTTGGGGGAGAAACCGTTTCTGGCGCCTAAGTGTCACTCTTTCTGTATACTGATACGTAGGCGCAAGTCAACTTTTAATAACCTTTTTTATTTTTTTGCTTCTTATAGCTCTAATTGCCCCAACTTATTGTACCTACAACAAAAGCATAAAAAAACCTTCCATTAAAGCTTTTAATAGTTCTAAAAATAGGTATTAAATATGTATATATAAATAACATATTTTTAGACATGTCAATAAGCTGTCACTTTTACCGATGGATTAACTGCTAGTTCTGTGAACTAACAAAAACTGATAATTTGAAATTACTCATAAAATTTTATGATATTAAATAGTCGGTTATGCGTCGACAATTTTATGCTGTCGGAATATCAATCGCTTTTAAAATTACTGACAAGTGTTTTACCTATGAGCTTAACATCGTTAATAAACAATTAGAAACATTGAAAGGGAGGGTTTTTCTCACAAGAACTAACGAAATTTGGACATGGAAAAAATCCATTATTCCTTTAGTTGTACAGTTGGAAGGAAAAATAGTAAAATCAAATCAGGTGGTAGTGGAGACTTCCCTAGTACTGAGTGGAGGAAGGTTGTTATTATCTTTGATCTCGCCTAGAATGGATTCAATTATTGTTCTTTTTTGTGCTTTTATTTAGGACTTCTCGTCTCCTCCATCGAACATAGTCCTTCATTAGCCACAAAATCATTGTTGACTATGACGGACATGTGTAAGCACGCTTAATTACAAACCCACAAATAAAAATCAACATGTTTGATTAATTATATTTATAATCCGTTGGAGGAAGCTACAACAACGAAATACTAAAAAATATTTAATTGTATATTCTATTTCTAATTTCTCACATTTATGAGAGAGATCGATCAGCAGCCCTCATTCGTATGGAAGAAGAACTGAAATCTTTTGGGAGGTTCACTTCACTCGCAATTAAGTCATGACTATCGTCATTCTATATATTTAAACCTCCTGGTCTAAAAGCAGTGTTTGGATTAGTGTTATATATATGTATATATATAGACACACAACACACATAGCACTCACATCGAAATAACTTTTTTTTATTAATTTTACTATAGTGACATTATATTAAAAAATCCCATGGCTTCATTCTCCGATTGGTTAAATTAACTTCCCCTACACTATATGCTATACCACCACCATTATACTACATACCAAGATGGCTATCCCCTTACCTGTCTAACGTAATTGTAAAGCTAGCTAAAAAGTTTATTGTATTAATTAGTGTTTGGCCTATACTCCCAACAAACTTGGGTTATCTTTTGAAAGAGTACAACCGACCTCATCTCAGATATATTCTAAATAGGATAAATCACAAGGCTGAATTGGTTCGGCAAGTAACTTGTCATTTAGCAGACTTTTTAGATTCTTTTTAAGTTACGAGAAAGCATTAAATGTTTTTGTCCGCATGCAAAAAAACAACTAGAGTGCTTTACAAGCTGTTCAGACAAACTGATTCTGAAGTTATTCTCGTCGCATAAATAAGCCAGACTTGAACAAGCTTGCTATTTACTCTTAAACTTTTATTTGGTCAAAATCGATCAGTGCTTAAAATTATTTTTGAATATTGTGATCTTATTTGACACCCAAATTTGAGCCAAACATTATTGTATTACTTTGGCTTAGTGAATCAGCTTTGCGATAAAAGTGAACTTACATGACCTAAAACTTCAGCCAAACCTATGTGGCTCGAACCCCACCCAAATTTACATAACTTTAATTTGATCTATTTAATAAAAATAACGGGTTAGAAAGCGCGAATTAAACTCAAATCATCTTCAATTCAGCTGACCCTAATCTGAACAAAGTAATTTATTAATACAAGACATAATATTAATACAAGGCAAACCTATGTGGCTCGAACCCCACCCAAATTTACATAACTTGAATTTGATCTATTTAATAAAAGGGACGGTTTAGAAGGCCCGAATTAAGCTCGAATCAACTTGAACTCAGCTGACCCTAATTTGAACAAAGTAATTTATAAATACAAGACATAATATTCATTTTGGTCCAGTTTTAATTAAACTTATCATGTTCAGATTTTTTTTGGTTAAGTTCAGGTTAAATTTCAGTTTTTAAATCAATCTAATTTGACCCAAATTTTATTAAATGAGTGAGGATTTTAGAGCTGAACCGACGTGAAAGTTAGTTGGATCATCCTAAATTTAGTTTTTTTTCAGTTGATCAGTTTAGGTCAAGTGATTTTTTGGCAGGCCTATTAAAAATAAGCCGATTTTTAAAACAGACAACCAACCAAACATTGTTTGACAAGGCTCTACTTGTGAATAGCTTTTAAGGAAAAAAAAATTGAGCTCAAAATAACTATTAAATATAACCTCGCTTATTTAACAAAGGAATGAAACACCTACTTCACATTGAACCAAACCCAAAAGATAAGCCTTTCAACAATGCCTTGTTGAATTATTTAAGATGATCTTGATTGATGCCTACTTTTGAGGAAGATATCAAGCAGATTTAATTAAAACTTTAAATCAACGTTAGCAGCTGAAGATCACCTAACTGCGGAGGTGCATCCTCCATCTGCGCTGCTGCTGTAGCATTTCGATTACAGCTTATTTTGCCAATGCCGCAGTCAATGGTTGGCGCACCTCCAGACCAGAATTAAAGCTCTTCGTGCGAAACAGAGAGCGAAAGAGCGATAGAAAGAGCGAGAGAGAGAGAGAGAGAGAAGCCTCTTGTTTGTTGAGGGTTAGGTTAGCAAAACCAACACCCCAAACCCAGTAGCTACTGCTAGCGTGCCAACTCCTACTTCCACCGGTAGTTGCGAACAGTTAAGCGGCCTCTCTCCGGACCACAGAACCAACAAGTCAATCAAATCCTACGACTCCACTTAATTTACTCCCACATTTATTATTGTATCTCCTTAATCCGTTTCATTCATCTGCCATCGAGTTCATGGAGGTCGGCACCTCCGCCTCCGAGGCTACTCTGCTTGAAGGATGCCTTCTCAGGGACCCGGATTCCTTCCCTTACTTCATGCTCCTGGCCTTCGAGTCGTCGGTGGGGCTTCTGCGCTTCGCGGCGATGCTCTGTCTGTGGCCGATTCTCTGGCTTCTGCGAGTGTTGGGCATGGGCGAGGTGGCGTTGAGGGTGATGGTTTTTGTGGCAATGGCAGGGGTTAGGGAGGCGGATATTAAGGCGGTGGCGAGGGCGGTGTTGCCAAAGTTTTTTATGGACGATGTGGACATGGAGGTGTGGGGGGTTTATAGCGGATACGATAAGGGGAAGCGGGTGGTTGTTACGGGGATGCCGAGGCTAATGGTGGAACAGTTTGTGAAGGAGCATCTGTACGCCGACGTGGTGGTGGGGCGTGAGCTTCAGGTTAGCCAGTCGGGGATTGCCACGGGGTTGTTGAAGTTGGAGGGAGGGGGAGTGGAGGAGAAGGTCAGGAAGTTGGCGTGTGGAGAGTTGGTGGGTGCGGGGATGGGTAGACCGGCGGCTATGGCGGCTGATGACCGTTGTGAGGTGAGTAATTTTTGTTAAAGGCAAGGTAACTTTGATAGTAAATAATAATATTTTTTATAAAATTTGGTGGTACTATTTTTATTTTCTTAGAACAGAAGCATATTATTAATTTGAGTATTCATTGATGTTTAGCTTAATTCTTTTAGCGCTCAGGATACATGATAAAATGTCACAAAAACGATAATTCAGTGGATGCCAATTTTACTGATAATGGTTTTGATAATTAATGATAAATTTGATGATGGAATAATGTCTGCAACATTTTTATCCTTAAAAGTGCTAATGATAACATGCCTAGAGCAAAAAAAGTAATAGCTAACAAAATTTTGAACGGCGAAATAATATAAAATAAGTAAAATAATTATAATGCATCGATATTTTATAATATTAATTACAAATACTGAAAATACAATTCTACACGTCGGTATAAAAGGTGTGAATGAAACAAATGTGAAGAGTTGAAGTCTAATAAGAAAAAGGCAACTAAAATATGCATTTAACAACTAATTCTATTTCAAAAGACCTTTTATTAATTTAATGTTTTCATTATTTTATAGAAAAGTAAAATTTTTTATATATAACTTAGATCATATGCGTACGCATTATTTATTTCTATATTTTATTGAAACATATTATATATCTCACATATTCTTAATATCATGCTTACCTCTTATCCGAGTTATAAATATATATATATATATATAAACATGTAATAGAAGTCAAAGAGTAGGCAACATATCTAAGAGAGATAAAATATATATATATATATATATATGTTGTTCTGTTCATAATAATGTATTGATGCATCATAGATTAATAAACTAGAAATTTAAAATTTAAAATTTATTTTATTAATATTTTTTTCTTGATTCATTAAATGCTAAGAAAGATGTAAATATGAAATTATAATTTTTTAAAATTAATATCGTTTTAATAAAATAATTTTAATTCGAAATACATACCAAGGATATTACGTGAACCGTTTCCGTGCATATTAATTTTTAAAAAATTTTAATGATTGAAATAAAAAAAAAAAGTGTATGAGTTTAACAAATGCTCAAATTAATGATAAAAGCTAAAATACTTTCTTATGAGCAACGAATTGATACAATGGTAAGAGAAAATTGACGCTCTAATTTAACAAACAAAGTTAGTTTAGTGCTTATTTGTGATAAATTTTGTTTTTATTTTTATTTATTCTATTTATTTTTTAGTATAAGGCATATCAATTATGTTCTTACATATTTTTAATTTTTGTTTCAATAAGTAATTATGATTTTAAAATACTCAAAATATTTCTTAGGTGTTTTGATTATTCTTAAAAATAACCATAACTTAATCAAAAGGAAAAACCGTTTTTATTTTAGTGAAAAACATAAATAAAATGAAATAAAACCAAAAAATTTATCATAAAACAAAATTGATTACGAACAACTATTTAATATTAAAGCTTTATATATTTATTTAGGAAGAATCACTTTCGGTTTATTCTTATTTAAATTTTTTACTTGAAATATTTTTCTATATAAAACCCTAAAATTAAAATCATTTCAAAAAATATTATTCATATAATTTATCTAAACTAAAGACACTATTAATGAATATTTTGTTATGTGACTTAATCTTAAAATGAAAAAATAAATTTGTGTCGGACATATGACTGCATTAAAATTTGGAATCCCTTTAATATTTGTTTAAAATATCCACCGCGCACAATTTTTTTTTCTTCGCCAAATATCCATTAATTTGTGTCTCATGCTTAAATTACAGGACATTATTCAATGCATTGCATATATATTGATTCAGTGATCCTTCATCCCAAATAAATAACTATACATATGTAACATATAATAACTTCAGATTTCTTTGACGGTTAAACTATGGATCATGTTGATGTTGATAAAAAAAAAAAACAAAGGTTTGTTGATTAACAAAAAGTTATAAACATCGTACAGTAAATTAACCCACTAATGATTATAGTGCACTATGTTGTGATTTATTAATAAAAATGGAAATCTTCAGGTGGTATCCGATTAGATTATAGATATTTAAATTTATAGGAATTGAGTGGTAAGTATGAAAATCTTCTGAATTTATTTTGGAATAAAATTTGAACCAAAATACTCCAAATAAGTTATAATTTGGATATATTTCAAAACATTTGATTTATTTTGAGATGAAGATATTATAAATTTCAATTATATGATCTTATATTATATTAAATTCAAAATAAAATAAACAATTTTGAAATTCATTCAGATGAGAGTTTGATGAAAATTAAGGTATACTCTTATCAATGTTTTTTTTTATAAAAAATATCAATAAAAAATTTTAACTCATTTTTAGATAATAAGGTGTACAAGCAGTTAATAAAATTTATCTTATACTTAATTTCTAATTTAAAAATAGATTTAATAAACTTTAAACCCCAATCAAGTATTTGATCAATTCTAAAAGGGTTTATTTTTTTTCCCAATGCAAGCCCGAGTAAAAAACATTACTCTTATAGAAACAGCCTACCAACCTGTTTCAAACTAATCAATGACAATGAATTCAGAAGCAACATCTGCCACCCTTCAAGCCCGCCACTGCCGCAACAAGAAGCCGCATCGATCAGC